GCAGCACGTGGGGGACAAATAAAGGAGACAAGGAAGCAGCAAAAACAAAAAAGGGACACAGAAACTCACCGGCTGCAGTATGCTGCTGCTGCTTGCCGCCATTTGCTGCGGAGCTCTAGGGCAAAGCCATCCATGTGGACTCTTTGCTGCTGCCGCTGCAGCTGCTGCTGCAGCTGCTGCAGCACAGCGTGCTGCTGCAGCTGCTGCCTTTCGGCCTCAGGCAGCGTCTCCCCCGTCGCAGCGTCCGACGCTGCTGCTGCTGTTGCTGCTGCTGCTGTTGCTGCTGCTGCGGTTGCTGCTGCTGCTGCTGCTGCAGCAGGAAGACACGTGGCGCGGTGTCTGTACACCCCAGCTAACCGGCTGCGCTCTACTGCAGCAAGCAGCAGCTCCCGAGCCTTGAGGCCTCGATAGGACTGCAGCAGCAGCTGCACTACGGCCTCGTTGCAGCTGCTGTCAGCTGCAGCAGCAGCAGCAGCACAACAGCAGCAGCACAGCAGGGCCACTTGCTGCAGCTCAAGCGCCGCACGAAAGGCCGTCGCACAGAAAAAGACAAGCAGCAGCAGCAGCAGCAGCAATAGCAGCAGCAATAGCAGCAGCAGCACACGTGGTAGCAAGACAGCCGCAGCAGCAAAACGCTGTTGAGACAGGGGCAGCGCAGCTGCCGTCGTTACCTGCTGCTGCACTTGTTGCAGCTGCTGCAGTTGCTGCAGTTGCTGCAGTTGCTGCAGTTGCTGCTGCTGCGCCCCACACCCGGCGCTGCAGTTCTTCCAGGGGCAGCAAATCGCGAGCAATATGCTGCTCGACAAAACATAGGGCCCTGCAGCAGCAGCAGCAGCAGCAGCAGCAGCAGCAGCAGTGGTAGAAACGTTTTGTTTCTCATAGCAAAGCGGACTAAGACACAAAAGGTTTGGCAGCAGCAGCAAGAGAGCAGCTGCAGCAGCATATGCTGCAGCAAAATCATCGCTGCAGCAGGAGCAGAGCACAGCAAGCGGCAGCACCGGAGATGAAGTAACAGCAGCAGCAGCAACAGCAGCAACAGCAGCAGCAGCAGCAGCAGCAGCAGGCACTGACCTTGCGTATGCCCCGCACGAAAGAGCAGCACGAGACAGCAGCAAAGGGTCGAGTTTGTCAAGTGTATTTTTAACAGCAAGCAGCTGGTGCTGCAGCAGCTTTTGCTGCTGCTGCAGCTGCAGCAGCTGCTGCTGCACTGCCGCCTGCTGTGTGGGGCTGAGGCTGCCGCTGGCTGCGCAAGGCCTCATCTCCACAGTGGGGGATATTGCTGCTGCAGTTGCTGCTGCCGCTGCTGCTGCTGCTGCTGATGGCCCTGGAGAGGCTGCTGGGGTCTCGCTGCGTGAGAGCTGCTGCTGCAGCAGCTGCTGGCGCTGCAGCAGCAGCGGCAGCTGCTGCTCCTCAAGCTGCCGCCTCCACCGCGACAGCTTTTGCAGCAGCGAGAAGACGGCCTAATCGCAGCAGCAGCAGCAGCAGCAGCAGCAGCAGCAAAGCAAGTGCAGCAGAGTTGTGGCGACAGCAGCAGCTTCTGCAGATACCCTGCCCGTTTGCTGTTGCTGCAGCAGCTGCAGCAGCAAACAGGCGGCAGCAGCAGCAGCAGCAGCAAGCACAGTAACGAAGACAACGGCGACGTCAGCACAAGCGGTGGCGAAGGCAGCAGCAACATGCAGCAGAAGCACGAGCAGCAGCACAGCAGCAGCAGCAGCAGCTCAGCAGCAGCAGCTCGGCAGCAGCAAGGGACCTGAATGGTCGACGCGCTGTCTGCAGCAGCTGCCTTTCGCTGTTGGTCATGGTGCTGCTGCTGCTGCTGCTGCTGCTGCTGCAGTGTCTGGCGCTGCTGCACTTCCGCCGTGGATTTGTTCTCGGCTGCAAGCTTGCTGCTGCTGCTGCTGCTGTTGCTGCTGCTGCTGCTGCTGCTGGTCCTTCTGCTGTTGCTGCTGCGCTGCAGCTCCGTCGCGACAAGCTGCAAAAGCCTCTCGCTGAGAAGTTTCCCTGCCTGCAGCAAGGAGCGCAGCAGCGACAGTAGCAGCAACAAATGCAGCAGCAGCAGCAGCAGCGCAGCAGCAGAAGCAGCAGCGGCAGCAGGAGCTGAGGCGAGGTCGCAGCAGCAAGACCCACAACAGCATGAACGAGGGAAGCTGCTGCAGCTGCGCGCTGTGCTCTCAGTACCAATACACTCAGCAGCAGCAGCAGCAGCAGCAGCAGCAGCAGCAGCAGCAGCAGCAGCAGCAGCACCTGCTCAGGAGTTGTTAGCCGGGAAGACAAAAAAGCCTCAGTAAGATGAGGCAGCAAAAATGACAGACAGAAAGGCAGGTGCAGCAGCGCCAAGTCGCATGCGCGGAAAATCTGAACTCGTATGCTGCTGCTGCTGCTGCTGCTGCTGCGGCTGCTGCTGCTGGCTGCGCCGACTCCTTCCTTCTGATCCTGTTGCTGCTGCTGTTGCTGCTGCTGTTGCTGCTGCTGTTGTTGCTGCTGCTGCTGCTCGAGAGAGGTCAGCATCCAGTGGACGAACGACTGTAGCGGAGAGTTGATAGCCGCACCGAACGTGCTGCTGCTGCTGCTGCTGTTGTTATTGTTGCTGCTGCTGCTGCTGCTACCGCTGCTGCTGCTGCTGCTGCTGCTGGTCTTGAGCACTTCATCCGTAGTTGCTGCTGTTCCGTGGCCATCGGCTTTGCGTTTTCTGCCTCTCCCCGTCTCTTTCAGTCCAGAACTGCTGCTGCTGCTCCTGCTGCTGCTGCTGCTGCTGCTGCTGCTGCTGCTTCTGCTTCTGCTGCTGCCCGTCCAGTGCTTGTAGGCGCTGCTCGCGTATGGCAGCAGCGCAACTTTTGCTGCTGCACTGAACAGCTGCCTCCACAGGAAGCAGCGGAAAGGATCTCCAACAAAGGGGTTGTCTCCAGCTAGCTGCTCTTCCTGCTGCTGCTCCTGCTGCTGCTGCTGCTGCTCCTGCTGCTGCGGCTCCTGCTGCTGCTTCTGCTGCTGCTGCCGGAGAAAGGCCCGGTGCATCCGTGGAAATACTTCGGCGGCCCTGCCTGAAGCCGCAGCAGCAGCAGCAGCAGCAGTAACAGCGTACATGAAACATTGCAGCAACTGCCGCAACAGCAGCAGCAACAGCAGCAGCAGCAGCTGATGCATCTAATGCAGCAGCAACTCCGCCGCTTTCCAGAAGCCGCGTGCTAGTAAAGGACTGCTCTAGACGAAGCAAAAGGCTTGGCCTCAGCAGCAGCAGCAGCAGTAGCAGCAGTAGCAGCAGCAACAGCAGCAACAGCAGCAGCAGCAGCAACAGCAGCAACAGCAGCAGCAGCAGCAGCAGCAGCAGCAGCAGACCAGGGCTGGAGTGAACGTGCAGCCCAAGGACGTTGAGGAGCTCCTGCGCAGTTCTTTCTGCTGTTGAAAGATGCAAATGTGACAGCAGCACTTGCTGCAGCAGCACAACTCCCAGCGTGCCGTCAGCTGATATCTGCCACCTGCTGCTGCTGCTGCTGCTGCTGCTGCTGCTGCTGCTGCTTCGTCGAGGACGCCCGCTGCTGCTGGAACCCTTCGTCGGCTGCAGCTCCTGCTGCTGCTGTTGCTGCTGCTGCTGACTGCCGGTGGCAGCAGCACCGGGTCCTCTCAGCAGCAGGTCAGCTACGGCGGAGGAGGTGGGGACCCTGCTGCTGCTGCTGCTGCTGTTGCTGCTGCTGCTGCTGCAGAAAGGCTCAAGGTGGCCCAGCACCTGGCAGCAGCAAAGTGGCAGAGGGTCTACAGAGTGCGCGAACTCTGCGATGACTCCCTGCACACTAACAGCAAGGGCTGACAGCAGCTGCTGCAGCAGTTGCTGCTGCTGCTGCTGCTCCTGCATCTCCTGGGAAGGCAGCAACGACGCTTGCTGCTGCTGCTGCTGCTGCAGCAACAGCAACTGCTGCTGCTGCTGCAGCAGCAGCGGCACGCTGCAGCACCGTACAATCTGTAACAAACACTTTGCTGCAGCAAAACGTGTCAAGTAAGGAAAGCTGTTGCTGAGGAAGGCCCCCACGGCGCAGCAGCGCAGCAGCAGCAGCGGCAGCTGCTGCTGCGCATGCAAGTAGTCGCTTCGCTGCTGCTGCAGCTGCTGCTGTAAGTCCTCCAGCTGCCAGGATGAGGAATCGGGGCAGCAGCTCGTGCTGCTGCTGCAGCTGCTGCTGATGATGTGCTGCTGCTGCTGCCCCTCGAGCAGAAATGCAGGCAGCAGGCAAAAGAACTGCAGCAGCCGCAGCAGCCCCGTGTGCTGCTGCTGCGACACGAGGCTGCTGGTGCTGCTGCTGCACTGCTGCGTCGCTGCTGCTGCTGCTGCTGCAGGGTCGCAGGGCAGCAGCTGCTGCACTGGAGGCAGCACTGGCGTGCAGGCAAAAGCAGCACACAGCAGCGGCAGCTGCTGCTCATCAGCTGCTGCAGCATCTTGAGCTTTCGACAGCAGCAGCAGCAGCAGCCTCCAGACTTCGCTGCAAATTTCCTGCGACGCAGCACAGCTGCTGCAGCAGCACTCTGCTGCGCTGCTGCTCCCTCCGCTGCTGCTGCTGCTGCTGCAGCAGAGGAGCTGCTGCTTTGCATGCAGGGAGTACTGCTGCAGCTGCTGCAGCAAATAAGGCAGGAACCGCAGCAAAGAGGAAGGAGAAAAGGCAGCAGCGCAGCTGGACATACACCGCAGCACAGACACTGAATGCTGCGTTGCTTCTCTGCAGCAATCGAGAAATCCCAGCAGCTGCACAGACACAGCAGCAGCAGCACAAGCAGCAGCAGCACAAGCAGCAGCAGCAGCAGCAGCAGCTGAGAGGCAGCGCGGCGCGTGCATTCGGAACGGCAGCAAGGACAGCAGCACGCAGTGAGTAGCAGCAGCAGCAGCACACCGCGCAGCAACAGCAACACAGGAGGCAGCAACAGCAGCAGCAGCAGCAGCAGCAGCAGCAGCAGCAGCAGCAGACCTTCGCTGTACGCGTCTCTACAAGCTCGCTGCCTGCAACATTGAGCAGCAGCTGCAGTGTCTTAACAGCAGCAACACTTGTGCCAACCCCTCCATTCGCTGCTGGCAGCTGCAGCAGCAGCAGCAGCGGTTGCTGCTGCTGCTGCTGCTGCTGCTGCTGAAAGGCCGGCAGCAGCAGCTGAAGCGACACAGGAGGAACGAACAAGCGGAGGAAGCTGCGGCGGTACAGCAACGCTGCTGCTGCTGCGCTGCTGCTGCTGCTGCTGCTGCTGGGGGCCACGAGGCAGAGCCTGAGGACTTCAACTACCTAAAGAGCAGCAAAATAAAGAAAAAGAAAAAAAGAAATAAATTAAAATTAAAAAGACAAAAGAGAAGTTAAGACAGAAGAAATAAATTAAAATTAAAAAAAACAAGAGAGAAAAAAGGACAAGACAGAAGAAACTGAAGCTACAGGTAAAGCAAAAGGATATACAAAATGCAGCAGCTGCTGCTGCAGCATTCTATGTGCAGGCGCAGCAGCTGCTGCTGCTGCTGCTGCTGCTGCTGCACCTGCAGCAAGTGCTGCTGCACAAAAGCAGCAACTGCCTTCGGTCCAGCCAAGACGTTTTCTGCCTGCAGCTCCCGCAGCAGCAAATCCACAGCCCTGAAGCAGCAGCAGCAGAAGCAGCAGCAGCAGCAGCAGCAGCAGCAGCAGCGGGGGCTTGGCAGCTGTTTTTGCTGCAGAGCAGGAAGGGGTCAATAATCCTGTTTTGGGCTTGCTGCTGCTGTGGTGGTCTCGCTGCTGCTGCATTCTTCCTGCTGCTGCTGCTGCTGCTGCTGCTGCTGCTGCTGCTGCTGCTCACCTCTGCAGTGTGTCGATGCACCGCAGCAGCTTCTCCCGTGCTGCTTCTTCGCCTCCCCTGCAGCCTGTAAGAACAGATGCAGCAGCAGCAGCAGCAGCAGCAGCAGCAGCAGCAGCAGCAGTGACAACTGCAGCAGCACATTAGCTGCCGCAATCGTACACCCTTCAGTGAGGCAGGAAGCAGCATTTGATGCTGCACTACTGCTGCTGCTGGTACCCCTCCTGTTGCTGCTGCGCTGCTGCTGCGTTTGCTGTCGCTGCTGCTGCTGCTGCTGCTGCTGCCTGAGTGCTCCTGCAGCTACTGCTTACATGTTGCTACAAAATGTGCACATCGCAGCAATACAAAAAAGAGGATTTGCTGCTGCTGCTGCTGCTGCTGTCGCTGCTTTTGCTGCTGCAGTACCGCAGCCGCAGCGTTGCTGTCGTCGCTCTGAGCAGCGCAGCTGTTGCTGCTGCTGCTGCTGCTGCTGCTGCTGCATGCTGTTCCGAGGGCTCTTTCTTTGTTGCTGCTGTAGTGAACATGCAACAGCCGAGCAATGAATGCTGCTGCTGCTGCCGATGAAGGCAGCAGCAGCAGCAGCTGCAGAATTAAGCCATCCAGTGGCGGTAGCTGCTGCAGCAGACCAAGTCCCGCTGCAAGCACCAACAGCAGCAGCAGCAGCAGCAGCAAGAGCAGCATACTTTTTCAGCTTCCAGGTACAAACGGCGCAAAAAGCCAGCAGCACCACCACCGAGGCCAGCAGCAGCAGCAGCAGCAGCAGCAGCAGCAGCAGCAGCAGCAGCAGCAGCAGCAGCAGCAGCAGCACAGCCAAAGGCATACGAGGCGGCGACGCGTTTGCTCTCCAGGATACGACAGCGAAGCGAAACGGCAGCAGCACTCCCAGCAAGAGTTGTGTCTCTGCTGCTGCTTCTTCAGCAGCAGCAGCAGCAGCAGCAGCCATTGCAGCAGTGGCATTAGCTTGCTGCTGCAGCTGCTGCTGCTGCTGCTTGCTGCGAAGCAGCAAAAAGCGCCTCGCCAGCGACTGCTGCTGCAGCTCCCCAGACACCAGGCGATAGCTGCGCGACCCCAGAAGCAGCAGCAGCAGCCCCCCTTTGAAAACAGCAGCAGCATCTCTTTTGCTGCTGCTGCTGCTGCTGCTGCTGCTGCTGCTGCTGGCGAAAGACAGGGAGGCTCTGCTGCTGCGCCAAAACAAACTGAAGAGACTGTCGATGCAGCAGCCGCCGCCACACGCGTTTGCTGCTGCTGCTGCAGCAGACACACCCCAGCAGCGCAGCAGCAGCGTCAGCTGCTGCAGCCGCTGCATTAGTGCAGGCGTTGCAGCATTGAACCAAGCAGGACTGCCCCCATGTGCTGCTGCTGCTGCTGCTGCTGCTGCTGCTGCTGCATGCAGCCGCCGGAGCAGCGAGCGAAGAAAGAGAGCAGCATCAGCAGCAAACCAGGCTGCTGCTGCTGCTCCGTTGGGGTGTACATGCACTCGATAAGGCAGAAAGGAAACGAGAGGAGTTCCTAGTGTCTGCTGCTGCTGCAGCTGCTGCTGCAGCTGCTGCTGCTGCTGCTGCTGCTGCTCTTGCTGACTGACCGCAGCAACCGCCTGCTGCAGGGACGGACTGTGCAGGCAGCAGCTATCTACAGGCTGCTGCAGCAGCAAATCTCCCCGCTGCACTGCAGCAGCAACGCGAGGCCTCAGGCGCGCAGCAGACAGCAGCAGCTGCAGCAAAGAGCTGCAGCGCAGCAGCAGGCCCCCGCTGTCGCCGGAAAAGGACATATGCTTCATGGCAGCAAGTGCAGCAGCAACAGAAGAGTTTTCTGCTGCTGCTGCTGCTGCTGCTGCTGCTGCTGCTGCTGTTGCTGCTGCTGCTGCTGCAGCGCCAGAAGAAGCAGCCGAGAGATGCCGCTGCAGCAAAGGAAGCAAATGTTTCGGCCCGTATATCCAAACCAAGTCGGCTCCCGCGTTGCTCATGCAGTTGCTGCTGCTGCTGCTGCTGCTGCTGCCGTTGCTGCTGCTGCTGTTACTGCGACTGCTGCTGCCGCTGCTGCCGTCGTCTAAAGAAGTAGTCAAGGCGGGGAGCAGCGCCGGAGCAGCAGCAGCCGCATCTCGCCCAGCTGCTGCTGCTGCTGCTGCTGCTGCTGCTGCTGCTGCTGCTTGGAGAGCTGCAGGAGTGGCAAGCAGAGAAGACCGCAGCAGCTGCAGCAAAGCCCCAGGAGGTGCTGCATCTGCAGCTGCTGCTTCCTGCTCCCACAGCTGCAGCACGAGCTGCTGCTGCTGCGCCTCCTGTAGCAGCAGCAGCTTGTCGGCTAAAGGAGGCAGCAGCTTCAGCAGCAGCATAGGCGACTGCAGCAGCAGCAGCAGCGGGGCTTTCGCTAGTTGCTGCTGCGGCTCTTCCAATAACTTCACCACCACGTCGTTTGTGCTGCTCCTGCTGCTGCTGCTGCTGCTGCTGCTGTTTTCGGAGCAGCAGCACAAGTCCAGGTGCAGGGAGTCAGCTCGAAGCGCAAGGTGCAGCAAAAGCCAAATGGAGACAGCAGCAGGAGAGAGCAGCAGCAGCGTCAGCAGCGGCGGGCACAGAGCCTGCTGCGCTCGCCTGCTTTGCTGTTGACGCTGCTGCACCTGCTGCAGCAGCTCCTCCTCGTGCGTGCTGCTGCTGCTGCTGCTGCTGCTGCTGCTGCTGCTGTTCTCGTCGCCTGCTGCGTTGGTAGCTGCTGCAGCAGTCTCCAGAGGTGGAAGAGCACCAGCAACAGCGGCGGCACTCGCTGCTGCTGCTGCTGCTGCTGCTGCTTCTGCTGCTGCTGCTGCAAGAGGGTCACTACACGCAGCTGCGCTGCGGGGCAGACACTGCAGCAGGCACTTGATTTGCTGCTGAAGGCTGTGCTGCTGGCGCAGCTGCAGCAGCTTGCTGCAGCAGCAACACAGCAGCAGCAGCAGAGGCAACAAGGCCTCCAGCTGCAGCAGCTGTCCTTCCTCTCGTGCTGCTAGGCAGCGCTGCAGCAGCGCGGAGTATGGAGCCTCTGCTTCTACTGCTGCAGTTCCTGCTGCTGTTGCTGCTGCTGCTGCTGCTGCTGCTGCTGCTGCTGCTGCTGTCAAAGAGCTGCGGTACATCTGCAGCGCTGGCAGCGCGAAGGGGAGGCCGCAACCCCTGCAGTTTGAAATTGCTGTTCCTGCTGCTGCTGCTGTTGCTGCTGCTGCTGCTGCTGCTGCAGATTCAAAGTCAACTGAAACGCCGCATGCAGCACAAGGGGGCAGGAGCTGCAAGCCTGCTGCTGCTGCTGCTGCCGAGGCAGCTTGTGCTGCTGCGACTGTCGCTGCAGCAGGACGTGTAGCAGCTGCAGCGCTGTGAAGCGAAGGGCTATCAGTAAAGACTGGCGTTGCTGCTGCTGCTGCTGCTGCTGCTGCTGCTGCAGGGCGCAGCAGCAAGATGTCCCGCATTTCCTCCTTTGTGACCAGCGGCGAATTGCTGCTGCTGCTGCTATCGCTGCTGCTGTTGCTGCTGCTGCTGCTGCTGTTTCGTGCTGCAGCATCCAGCAGCAAAAGCGGCAGCAGCTGACCTGTGGCTTCCTCCAGCGCAGCAGCAGAAACGCCAGGAGACAGCAACAGAGCCCTGAAAAGCACACGGCACCCCACACAGCAGCAGCAGTAGCAGCAGCAGCAGCAGCAGCAGCAGCAGCAGCAGCACATATTCAATTCAACCAGACACTAAGAACTGCAGACAAAGCAGCTGAAGCTAACAGCTCTGCTTCCTGACAAGCCGCACCTTATAAACGCAGCCAGCTTGTCGCTGCTGCTGCTGCTGCTGCTGCTGCTGCTGCTGCTGTAAGTTCCTTGGCCGTTATGCGAAGAGGGAGCAGCCGAGATGCTGCACTCGCTGCTGCTGCTGCTGCTGCTGCTGCTGCTGCTGCTGCTGCTAACTTTGCAGCAGACAAAGAGCCTCCCCACTGAGCGGACAATGGCCGCCTGCAGCACCGGCAGCGGAACTCTTCGGCTGCATGAGCAGCTCCAGCAGCAGCAGCTGTTGCTGCTGCTGCTGCTGCTGCTGCTGCTGCTGCTGCTGCTGCTCCGTCGCTCCTGAAGCGCTGCTGCGTAGCAAACGCAGCAGCTATCACATTCTGTGCTGCTGCTGCTGCTGCTGTTTGCCTCTTGGGAAGCAAAAGCCTTGGACACTGCAGGAAACACCTGCGAACAAAACAGCAGCCGCAGCAGCAGCAGCAGCAGTGGAAACAGCAGCAGCAGCAGCAGCAGCAGCAGCAGAGCCTCCTTGCTTTTGTGTGTCTTTCATTTTTATCTTCCTGCTGCTTTACCTTCTCCATAAGATGCTCCAGCGCTTCTGCTGCTGCTTCTCCTCCCATTGCCTCGCAGTGCGACAGCAGCAGCAGCAGATGCAGCAGCTGCTGCCGCGGCTCCAACTGTTGTTGTTGTTGCTGCTGCTGCTGCTGCTGCTGCTGCTGCTGCGCCTTCTCCTCTGGACCGACAGCGAGCTGCAGCAGCAGCAACAGCAATGGCGAGGCAGCAGCAGCAGCAACAGAAGCATGTTTAGATTTCCAAGGACGCAGCAGCAGCAGCAGCAGCAGCAAGACAAGCATTTAGCTTCTTACCCTCAATGCAGTATAATGGATAGCAGCAAGCCTTCTTCTGTGGCTCTGAGTCAGCAGCAACACGAGCTCTTCTCCAGGGTCTGCTGCTGCTGCTGCTGCTGCTGCTGCTGCTTGCTGCACTTCGGCAAGCCTTGCTGCCAGGGAGAGGCTAAGGTCCGCAGGCAGTTGCTGCAGCAGCGGCCAGACACACACCCAGTCTAGACTGCAGCAGCAGCAGCAGCAGCAGCAGCAGCAGCGGCCAGCAATAGCCGCAGACGAACTACCCGCAGCAGCAGCAGCATGTGCCAGACACACACCCAAGCTCGACTGCAGCAGCAGCAGCAGCAGCTGCAGCAGCAGCAGCAGCAGCAGCCAATAATAACCGCAGAAGAAGTACTCGCAGCAGCAAGGGCATGGCTGCCCGTGTCTGCTGCTGCTTCCGCGCTGCTTATTTTATCCTCTTCCGCTGAGGGCCAGTACGTTGCTGCTGCTACTGCTGCTGCTGCTGCTGCTGCTACTGCTGCTGCTACTGCTGCTGCTGCTGCTGCTGCTGCGTACCTGCACGAATGCAGCGAGCAGCCCACTGCAGCGCAAGGCTTTTGCAGTGTACGTACACCCGGCAGTCGCTACGTGCTGCGCCCAGTAGCAGCGGCCGCTGCTGCTGCTGTTGCTGCTGCTGCTGCTGCTGCTGCTGCTCTCCAAGTAGGAGCAGCGGAGCTAGTAGCAGCAGGTCCGCCTGCTGCTGTGGTGCTGCAGCAGCGCAGAGCCACTGGAAGGCCTCAGCAGCCTCTGCCACCTGCGCAGCAGCAGCAGCAGCAGCACAAATATTATTCAACAGATAGTCATGAATACAGCTGCTGCTGCTGCTGCTGCTGCTGCTGCTGCTGCTGCTGCTTGCATTGTCGCACGCCTGCTCCCATGAAGACGCAGTAGCAGCTACCTTCATGTGCAAAGGCGCAGCAGCGAGAGCAGCAGCAGCAGCAGCAGCAGCAGCGGTAGCAGCAGCAGCAGCAGCAAATAGTTTTCATACATGTGTGAGCTTGGTGTCACATAACTCCGCTGAAGCCCCCCACCAAGCAGCAGCAAATTGCTGCAGCTGTTCTGCTGTTGCCTTGCCGCACACCCTTAAGCTGCTGCTGCTGCTGCTGCTGCTGCTGCTGCTGCTGGACTCTGAAATATAAAGGAACAAAGGCAGCAGCGCTGCCAGCTGCTGCCGCAGCTGCTGCAGCAGCGAAGGAGGCAGCAGCTGCCGGCAGCCGCTGCTGCAGCTGGGTCCACCACCCGCTGCAGCAGCAGCAGCAGCGGCTGCTGCAGCAGGAGCTGCAGCAGCAGCAGCTGCTGCTGCTTCTGGAAATAACAGCGCATGCAGCCCTGAGCAAAGCTGGAGCTCCCTGCAGAGGGCACAGCAGCACGAAAGGACAAGCTGCTGCTGCTGCTGCTGCTGCTGCTGCTGCTCTTGCTGCTCTTGCTGTTGCTCTTGCTATTGCTACTGTTGCTGCTGCTGCTGCTGCCGTTGCACGATAATATTATGCAGCAGCAGCTGAGGCTGCATTTGCTGCTGGTGGTACTGCTAGTGCTGCTATTGCTATTTCTGCTGCTGCTGCTGCTGCTGCTGCTGCTGCTGCTGCTGCTGCTTACTGGCGACGAAGCAGCAGAGATGGGGGCTCCCTTGGCGCAGCCCAAGCAGGCAGCAGCTGCAGCAGCAGCAACAACGCTGCTGCCGCATCCTGATGCTGCTGCTGTTCGGCTTGTTGCTGCTGCAGCTGCTGCAGCTGCTGTTGCTGCTGCTGCAGCAATGCACAAAGCGCGCCTGCTTGCTGCAGCAGCAAAGCATAAGTTGAGTCTGCCTGCAGCAACAGCTCGCTAGCAGTAGCTGCCGCTGCCACAAAGTCGGCTGCTGCTGCTGCAGGGGCAGCAGCTGCTGCTGCTGCTGCTGCCGCTGCTGCTGCTGCAGGCAAAGTGCATATGTGCCGCTGCAGCAGCTGCTGCAGAGGCCGGCCCCCCATGAGCAGCAGCAGCAACTGCTGCTGAACCAGCACCGCCTCTGCAGTGTAGCCGCTCCACAGTCCGCTCCTGCTGCTGCTGCTGCTGCTGCTGCTGCTGCTGAGGTGGTGCAGCGCAGCAGCAGTAAGGGGGAAGAGCGGTTGCCGCAAGGAAAGTGCTGCAGCAAAAGGACACAGCAGCAGCAAAAGGCATGCAGAACTGCTGCTGGTGTTGCTGCTGCTGCTGCTGCTTCTGCTGCCGATGCCTTTGACAATTATATGTGACCCTTCGTGCTGCCCCTGCTGCAAATGCTGCAACTGCTGCTGCTGCTGCTGCTGCTGCTGCTGCTGCATTTGCTGCTGCTACGGACGTACATACGCCTAGCAGCAAAGCCTCTGACTGAAACGCATGCAGCCCCAAGGCGGGCTCTGCTGCTGCTGCTGCGATGGAGCAGCAGCTGCAGCTGCTATTCAAGCTGCCGCAACAGGAGCAGCAGCTGCTGCCGCTGCTGCTGCTGCTGCTGCTTCTTGCTGCAGTCCGCTGCAGCAACTGCAGCAGCAGCAGCAGGCACCGCACCCAGGGCTCCACTGTGAGCTGCAGCAGCTGCAGGGATGGCCGGCGCACAGCAGCAGCAGCAGCAGGTGCTGCAGCAGCAGCAGCAGCACTTCTGCTGCTGAATGGGGCAGACAGCAGCAGCAGCGACAACGAAGCCATTGACCTTCTGCTGTCTTCTCCGCCTGCACTCAAGCCAGCGCATTTTGCTGCTGCCTGCTGCTGCTGCTGCTGCTGTTGCTGTCTGGTAATGCGCTGCAGCACTGAAGCAGACTGGCTATAGGTCAGGAGCAGCAGCGCAAACAACAGCAGCAACGGCAGCTGAAAGCAGCAGCAGCAACAGCAGCAGCAACAGCAGCAGCAGCAGCAGCAACAGCAGCAGCAGCAGCAGTTATCTTACACAAGGCGTGATGCGAGCTTCTGAGCTGCTGTATCTGCTGCTGCAGCAAATCGAAGCTGCTGCGCAGCACTGCAGCACGAAGGTGCAGCAGCCGCTGCTGCACGGCTTCTGTCTGTGCTGCATCATGAGGCGCTGCTGCTGCTGCTGCTGCTGCTGCTGCTGCTGTCGTTGCAGCAGCTGCTGCTGCATCCGCTTCCTGCTGCAGCACTTCCCAAATGACCTTTTGCAGCGCACGGCAGCACTGGAAAAGCATGTTGTCTACTCCTCCGTTGCTGCTGCTGCTGCTGCTGCCATTGCTGCTGTTGCTGCTGTTGCTGCTGTTGCTGCTGTTGCTGCTGTTGCTGCTGTTGCTGCTGTTGCCATTGCAGCAGCTGCTGCTGCTGTTGCTGCTGCTGCCGATACGGTGAATGCGTGGTGCGTCTGTGTCCATTGTTGCTGCTGCTGCTGCTTCTGCAAGAAGCTGTGGGGAGGTGGCCTGTGCTGCAGCTGCTGCTACAGATGCTGCTGCAGCAGGAGCAGCAGCAGCAGCAGCAGCAGCAGTTGCTGCTGCTGCCGCTGCTGCTGCTCCTTCGCCAGTTTGCAGTGTACGGACAGCGCAGCCGTCGCCCTGCAAAACGAACAGCGGCAGCTGCTGCTCTGCTGCAGCAAGGAAGCAGCAGCAGGGAGATAAAGCTTTCCTTTCTGCTGCTGCTGCTGCTGCTGCTGCTGCTGCTGCTGCTGGTCTAGGAACCAGAGACAGGGTCCTCTCTTGGGCTTCCTTTGCTTCTGCTGCAGCGCTCTCCCGCTGCAGCTGCTGCAGCTTGGCTAGCTGGCGGCAGCACCTGTGCTGCTGCCGCTGCAGCAGCTGCTGCTGCCGCTGCAGCAGCTGCCGATACCGCTCAAGCTGCTGCTGCTGCTGCTGCTGCTGCAGCTGAATGGGGGGCCCCTGGCTCCCCCTGGGGGGCCCCCCATTCCCCAAATGCATAGCCATTACCTTAAAGAAAAGGGGTACACTGGAAGGTGTGCAACATGGCCAGCAGCAGCAGCACAGAGGCCTCTTCAGCGTAGCAGCAGCACAAAAGCTGTAGCAGCAAAAGTAATTAACGGTGCTACAGATGCTGCTGCAGCAGGAGCAGCAGCAGCAGCAGCAGCAGCAGTTGCTGCTGCTGCCGCTGCTGCTGCTCCTTCGCCAGTTTGCAGTGTACGGACAGCGCAGCCGTCGCCCTGCAAAACGAACAGCGGCAGCTGCTGCTCTGCTGCAGCAAGGAAGCAGCAGCAGGGAGATAAAGCTTTCCTTTCTGCTGCTGCTGCTGCTGCTGCTGCTGCTGCTGCTGCTGGTCTAGGAACCAGAGACAGGGTCCTCTCTTGGGCTTCCTTTGCTTCTGCTGCAGCGCTCTCCCGCTGCAGCTGCTGCAGCTTGGCTAGCTGGCGGCAGCACCTGTGCTGCTGCCGCTGCAGCAGCTGCTGCTGCCGCTGCAGCAGCTGCCGATACCGCTCAAGCTGCTGCTGCTGCTGCTGCTGCTGCAGCTGCTGCTGCTGCAGCTGCTGCAGCCGCACAGGCCACAGCAGCAGCTCCTTAACCTTGCAGTGTACGTACACCCCAGCCCCAAAAAAGAGCCCTTCAAAGTGAACCCCCAAAAGACCAAAAGGCAGCAGCAGCACTCACCCAGGGGCCCCTGAGGGGCCCCTAACTGGGGCCTCCTGGAGGGCCCCCTAGGGGCCCCCGGGGGCCCCCTGGGGCCCCCAGGGGCCCCCCGGGGGCCCCCTGGGGGCCCCCAGGGGAGCGCCGGGGGCCTCCCGGGGGGCCCCCGGGGGCCCCCAGAGGGCCTTTGAAGGCACGGGGACCCTTTAAGGGGCCCCCTAAGGGGCCCCTAAAGAAAGGGCCTCTAAAGGGTCTTTTTTGAGTTCATTAAATGCTTTCTTTTAAGCCACTAAAGGCTCCTTCTGCTGCTGCCAAACAGCCCGTATAAACCCCCACAGGGGCCCCACAGGGGCCCCACAGGGGCCCCACAGGGGCCCCACAGGGGCCCCACAGGGGCCCC